AGGGCCTTGGGGTGGGGGAGAATGAAGTCATTTAATGGGTGCAGAGTTTCAGTTTTGTAAGATGAAGAGAGCTCTGGAGAAGGATGATTGCAAAACAATGGGAATGTACTTAATACCACTAGTTGTACGCTGAAGAATGATTAAGAAGGCAAATTTTATTTGTACTATACTACAATTAAAAATGTTTTAAAAAAATGATTCGAGTCACATAGTGGTTGTCTGGAATACAGTGTTGTATAAAGTAAGGTCTACTTGTACTCATATGAATCAGATTTTTTTTTCTTGGCCTCTTAAATCTTACCTCTTCCCCTTGGGAGAAGGCCTCCTCAAATGCCCAGACTTGGCCCTACATCTACACCTTGGAGCACTGTGGCCGAGTGGTCTCTGGCACTCTGAGCACACTGACCTCCTGGCAGGGCTGAGGCTCCTCTTCTGGGGCTCAGCAGTGGTAACCCAAATATACAGCCTCCCACCCCTTCCCTCTCAGAGAGAAGCGCCCTAACCCACTCAAGCAATTCAAGGTGCCTCTTGAACTCTCTTCTCCAGGAAGAGCCCCCAGCATCATGGATCTTCCCCCTGGGCCCCAGTCCCACAAGGAGCTGTGCTCTCTGCCGGCAGCCACCACCAGGGACTCAGGGTGTGGGTCTGCTCAGGAGGCTGCCGTCCTTCTCCATGCAGACACTGCAGCCGGGCGGGGTCCCTTTCCCGCATCAGCCCCATCCTTCATTCTCCAAGACCACCGTGGAGGCTGTGCAGGCACGCTGGCCTTGGGTCCCCTGGTCAGCGGTGAGCCAAATCCCGCTAGTCAGAGCTCCTTCATTTATCCCAGGCCACGGCTTGCTGGATCGACTTAAGCACAGACATTACTTTCTTTTTGCCTTCAAGATCAGAAGAAGTGTAAAGCATATTAAAGGGAAATAATTCCTCACGTACCAAGTTGCCGCACTTTATCATGGGAGTCAGTGGGCTCCCAAAACTGCAGGAGGCAGCCTTTCGTGTCTTTCCTGGGAGAAAAAGAGCTACTTGAGGAAAAGCTCTGAACCTGATGACAGTCTCCCTTTGGGAAAGGTGGTTTCCACAGGAAAAGTTTACCAATTTCTCAGGTTCTTTCATGTGTTCATTCACTCAGTAAGCACACCTACTATGTACCAGACATTTATCAAATAAAATTTTCTACTTACAAAAGCATCACAGCATTTCTGATCTACAAATTACACTGAATTTATCTAAGTCCCTGTTTTGCCACTGGAGGTTAGTATGACCTCTCTGAGCCTCGTGGTTCTTATATTAAAGTGCGATAAGACTCCCTGCCCTGCCAGATGCACAAGATTGACACAGATCACCTGACACCCACAGATGAACATGGAGGTAATATTGTCATTGCTACAGTTAAAGAAAAAGATATACTGTTAAAGAGAACAGAGGGAAGCAAGAAGGAAAGGCAAAGCCAGAGATGCTTCTGCTTTTAGGGCAGATCAAGTCTAGAAACCACATCTCAAGACGTCCGAGCTACAGAATTGGTGAGGACATCTTCTTCCCTCTGGGTGCCCACCTCAGGGCTTACCCAGGAGGACAGCCATGAGTTTCACTAACTCACATTGAACATGTCATTCATGATGTCTGCCTTACCCAACTGTTCATTCTAGCTATGCAGCCCCCACTGCCTTTTTAGGGAAGCAGTTCAAAGCTTCTCTTAACCAGCAGCTTGGACCAGATGTGGGACCATTGATCCAAAGACACCCAGGAAGTAGCCTGGCTTCACGCATAGGAATGATGTGATTATCTGTCAATCACATCTGGCCAGGAGCACAGAGAGCAAATGACTGTCAGTGGTGAGCGAGGAAGAGGGCACACCTCGGGGACAGGGACTCAGGCGGGGCAGAGGAAGGAGCAGCTGGAGCTGCTTCAGGGCCTGCGGTCCTTGCTCCAGTTTCAGTGCAGGGTATCCTTACAGCAAACAGTCTCCCCATGGAGCGGCCCGAGGCGGAGCTACCTTAAGGGAATCTAGGACTAGAAAGAGCTTCATGTAAGCAAAGACCCAACCTGACTTACCGCCAAGACATGTGCTTCTGGAATATCTGCACCAGAAAACACTCAACCGAAACGGCTGAGTAATGAGGCACTGCATTTCTTTTTCTTGATTTTCTACTTGAAGGAAGATGGATATAGGAGGAGGAACAAGTCACATGCTGGTACCGCTCCAGCCCCGGAAGATCAGAATGAGAAATCAGCACCATGAAATACTGTAAAATTCCGGGGTCGGGGGGGGTTGGAGTGTGATGGGGGAAGGGCCCACCAGCAGGCACTCTGTCCCCACATCCTGAGGCAGCATCTGATCCCGAAGGCCATGCTTCTGCTGAATGGGGGCTTTGCGGGAAACCCCCGCTGGTGTACCAGCCTAGCGAGTCTAGGAGAAGCTCCAGCTCCCTTGGCCTGGGAGGGATCCACTGTAATCACCGTCCAGGAGGCACCAATCGCAGGCAGGCGGCGTGACCTAAATTGTAACGCACTGCGTGAATACCTAAGAGTGCGACCAGGAAGACAGAGGACACACCTTAAACTACCACAATACATTCTCTACGTGAAACATTTACATTATGCCATGTGCTTACACACGGAGCTGATGTGGGTGTGCGTGTGTTAGTGGAGATGTGTCCACACAGACCCAGGCAAGGTGTGGACCAACTTCCTTAGCCTTGTGAAGAGCAAGTTGTCAACAAAAACAATCCATAACCAATCTAGAAATGAAAATTTGGGTGAGTTTATTCTGAGCCAAAATGTGAGGACCATGGCCCGAGTCTTCCTTCCCCAAGGAAGGAAGGGCACCGAAGACGTGGGGTGTACAGAGTGGTTATATACACCCAAAGAGCATGTTTCACATGTGCTTGAAATGTCCCTTTTCCAATAGTCATGAGACCGCTCTGTCGGAACAGCGATGGACAGACACAGCAGGTAGTAGGTCTGGTGTCCTGGTGGACACAGCAGGGTGGCAGGTCTGTTGTCCTGAGCTGGGTGGTCACAGGTGAGCATAGCAATCAGTTCCCAGCCCAGGGAGAGATGCTTGTCCTTAAGGAAATGCCATGTGGGGGAAGTTGCACCTTTATCTTAAGGGCCTTTGTTCTTGTCTGCGGGACACAGCAAATGCTTAAGCAGATGTACAGCGCATGCTCAACGGCCACGTCAGGCCTTGTGGAAAAACAAAGCCGGGCCGAATTAGGTTTACACCAAACGGCTTCCTCGTGTCCCCCAGTATCTCCTGTGGCTTGCCATTTCTACTTGTCAAAGCCGTGGAGGATCAGTCAAAACAAAGGAACAGCTGCGTTCAAATTAAGGGTCAGAGAAAATTAAGCCTTAGTTAGTTTGGTTCTGTCCTTTCTGAAAGAAAGAAACCCAGGAAACATTAACTAGTTGGGATTTCAACAGCACGTCCGTCCAGTCCGTGAGGTTCCGCCATTTGGTATTCTTCCAGGGAATTCTTACTGAGACCAAAGCGGGCTCCCTGCTGGCGGGTGAGTCAGCCTCTCCACCGGAAGCAGTCGTCTCACAAAGCAGCGATATTGCAGCTAACGGGAGGTGTGGGGAATCACGTCCAGAGTCATGGGTCCCTGAACAAAGGGAAGCAGGGACATTTCCTTCACATTAGGAAGGAATATTCCAACGGGAGAGGCGGGAACCCTCCCGCGCAGGCTCAGGGGAAACAAGCTTCCACCCTGCAGGCGGCGGAGCCCAGGCCCGAACCTCCTCCCGGAGAAGCTCGGCATCCACAAGGCAAAGGCACAGGGGAGCCCTCTGCGGAGGCCTGGCCTGGCCCGGCGGGGCTGGCGGCACCTCCCTGACATAACAGAAGGAAAAGAACAATTTGGAACCACAGTTAGCCGCTTCCAAGCCCACCCTTGAGTGCGTCGGGGCAACGAGTGGGTGACTGTGTTTCTGCCTCTTAGCTTCACCCTCTCAGGCAAGGGACACTGCACTGGGCTGCTTCCTGCGGAAGAGCTTTCACCGCAGGCATCTTGGGATCCCGGGGCCGCCCGGCGACGGGACGACGGGGTCCTGGCGTCCTCACAGGCGGGGCTGGCTGGGAGGCCCGGCGGCTCTGCAGGAGAAGACAGCCCGCAGTCCCCGCCCCGCAGGCGCCCTGACCTCCCGCGGCCGCCGCCCCGCGGCCCGGCCTCGCTGCGCCGCCCCCCTCAGCCTCCCGGGCCCCCGCCCTCCCGAGTCCCGCAGGCCGCCTCCCGGGCGCGGCAGGGCCTCCGGCGGAGCGCCGGCCGGCCCCAGGGTCTCCGCGCCGGGCTCAGGCAGCCGGGGCCGCGGGACGCCCCGCGCCTCCACCGCCCCGCGAGGGCCGCGCTGCGTCCGCACGAGCCCGTCGCGCAGAGCGTCCCCGGAGGGGCTGAGCGACGAGGCGGAGGAAGCAGCGCGGCGCCGGCTGCCCCCGCCTTCCTCTCCGGCCGGCGACACACGCCCGCAGGGGCCGCAGCCGCGAGCGGAGGCCGCCGCGCTGGCTCTCGCTTCGGGCCCGTCGCTTAGGCACTCAGCGCCTCGGCTTCCCCGTCTGTGACAGGCGGCCACAGCGCCGCCCGGGGCTGGGAGCTAACCGAGCTGCTCGCCGGGAGGCGCACGCCCCGCGCCGCCGCCGGGGGAGCGGCCGAGACGCCGCGGCTGGGACCCCGCGGTGTCCGCGGTCGCCGGCCAGCGGTCAGCACGCAGTGTCTGTGCAGCCTCTGGGCGAAGCCCCGGCCGTGCAGCCCGGCTGTCCTGGCGCCGCCGTGAGGTGCGTCGTCCGGGCAGGAGCCTCGGCCCGTCGCCGCCGCGCACAGCCATCCTCCGCCTCCCTCGCCGCCGTGGCTGACCCCGCCCCACCCCGGGAGGGCCGATCCCCCTGACCACGACCCCCGGGAGGGCCGACCCCCGCCCCCGCCCCCCCCCCGGGGGGCCGGTCCCCCCCCCCACGCCCCCCCGCCTGCGCCCCCGTCCCCCGGGAGGGCCGCCCCCCGCCCCCCGCCCCCGCTCCCACGGGGAGGGCCGCCCCCGCAGGCTCGCAGGTTCGGGGACGGGCCCGAGGCGCTGAGAGACCGTGTGCAGCAGCCCCACGAAGAGAGGAGGCGGCCCCGCGGCTCCCCACGAGCCCGCGCCCGGAGCTCCGGAGGGTCACGCTGGCCCGCGGGGGTCTCCAGCCGGCCGCCGGGCCTGCGTGGGCAGGTGCGGGTCCCCCGCGTGCCACCAGCTCACAGGCTTCCTGACTCTCGCTGGTGGTTCTGGGGTGAGCCGTGTCCCCGCCAGACTCGCATGTTGAGTCCTAACCCCTAGAACCTCAGAGTGTGACTCTATCTGAAGGTAGGGCCCAGAGAGGTAAGTAGGTTAAAATGAGGTCATGAGGGTGGGCCCTAATCCGACGTGTCCTTATAAGAAGGTGGGGACAGACAGACACAGAGGGAAGACCACGTGAGGACACGCGGAGCAGGCGGCCATCTGCAACCCAGGAGACGGGCCTCGGAGAAACCAAACCTGCGCCGCCTGGGTCTCGCACTCCGAGCCTCCAGACGGAGGAAACACGCGTGTTTCAGCCCGGCAGTCTGATACTTCATGATGGCCACCCAGCGAATGACGTCCCTGGCGGCGGGCTCTGCTACGCCTTTTACTTTGCCTCGCGTCCCGCTCTTGCTCGCGGTTCCCCCATCTCAAGACCCCACAAGGCGCTGCCCTGGCATCCTGTGCTCAGGCTCCTCTGGGCAAAGATTCACTGTAGGGATGTTCTCTGTGCAACTCCTGCCGGGCCTGTCCATCTGCAGCTGCTCTCAGGCCACCAGGAAAGTTCTGGGCAGCCTCAGGCAGAGCCTAGGCCTGGTTTAGAGTGGAGTTTCCAGATGCATGCCACCATCCACAGCCGCTCCATCCTAGGGAACTCTGGGCCTGGGATTGCCAGATAAAGTACAGAACACCCAGTTAAATTTGAATTTCAGATAAACAACAAATAATGTTTCAGTATAAGTATATCCTAAATATTGCACAGGCATCCTTATACTAAAACATTATTTGTTTACCTGAAATTCAGATTTTACTGAGCATCCTGGATTTTTATTTGCTACCCTACCAGCGTCGTGGGGAGTCCAGGGCACTCCGCATAAAGACACTTTGAGAGAATTTTCCTCCACATCCTTCAGGAAATCTGGACCAAAAGCTGGCCAGAGGCAGGAGCACCCCACATCCCTCAGCCCTGAGCAGAAGCAGGCTTCCCAGGCCCACCTTGTCCTAACCCTGGTACCCACGATAGCACCAGAGACTGCAATCTCCAAGGTTAGGAAGAGTTTGCATTATAAAATAATGGGTGTGGGAACCTCCTCTCTCCCCTCCACCTGGATTTTAAAGAAGTGATAGCAGATTTGGACACAGCCCATGGCACCCACAAATCCAAAAAAGAGGTAGGATACCATAATTAAGAGCATGAGCTTTGGGGTCATATAGACCTGTGTGAGAACTAGCAATATGGCCTCGAGTGAGTTATAGCCCTCTCTAAATTGCCCTTGTCTCATCATAGCTCAGGAACGTAAATGTTCCTACCTATCTTACAGTGTCGCCGTGGAGAGCAAACAAGACACCACACGGACAACCTTAACACAGTGCCTGACAGAAAGCAAGTGCTGGATAAATGCTAGCGCACTGCTGCGGGAGCCTCTCCACTTCTGTTTACATCTCCTGCCCCAACACTCTAGCACACACGAGTTCTCCTAACTGAGCCCCAGCAGTGCTCTGAAGGCCTGGAGCTAACGACAAGCTCTGTGAGCTCCAGCTCCTGGAAACTTTCCCAGGAAAATTTGGGATGCAGAGATGTGGGATAGAAGACAGATGGCTTTGGCATTTTGTGGTATGGGTAGTGAAAGGTCAGTTAGCTCTGTAGGAGAGAGCTCAGTGCCGCAGGGATCTGGCCCATGAGATAGTCTTCCTCACCTCTATCACCTAACCCTCCCCAGTCCCAGGTTGTACAGAGTTCATTGACCCCCTCCCCTACCTTCCATGGACACTGGGCCTGGGCCCCAAACAAAGGAATGCGTCTGGCCTCGGGGCCAAAGATGGCCACTTCGGCCTTGACTCTAAGGCACCACTTACAAAAAAATATGTCCTGCGTCATGTTCCTTGTCTAGCCTGGCCACCCGGAAGGGCACCTGACAGGACTTTAGAAACATCCCATCCGTAGGAACAAAAATGGTAAAAGCACCCCATCCGTGGGAACAAGAAGAAATAACTCAAAATATCCAAATGTCTAAAACCCTGAGTCAGAACCCAGAGAAACCTTGGGATGAAAGGGAGTCCCAGGCATAGGATAATTGGAGGTCTCCCTGAGGAAAGGACGCTTTGCCTCAGACCTGGACGATCAGCACTCTCACCCGCTGTACAAACTATTGGGACTTCCCTGGCTCATTGTGGTGTGGATGTTGTAAGTACCGATTTGTTGTTCCCCTTTATCCCCACTCCTTGTTCTGTTTCCCTTTATCAATAAACTCTGATTGCTTAAACAACCAAGTAGCCTTGGCTGTACCTGTCTTTCCTTGCCCTTTGTGGCTGCGGGCAACACAGGTGCCTGCTGACCGTGCAGCCAGGTGCAGGTGGAGCAGCGCCAGTCAAGCCCTAGGATTAGAAGATGAAGCCAGTGGTCAGTCCCAGCAAGGCTGAGTCAGTGACATTATCCCTCTATGTGAAAGGTGACACGTTTGTAAGCAGAGACATGATATGGGAGAGTGAGATCACTCAGGATGACACCTGCCGTTACCCAGAGCACCGGGCCAGAAGTGGGGTGTGGAATTTGAATGAAATAGAATAGATTTTGCCTCTTCTCCTAATGGATAGTGCCCTCATTCTAGTATATAGACTTTACAGGGTGATCGTTTCAAAATCGCTCTTTATTATAAGAACCAAATGTTTTCTCCAGCTAGTTTGAGCTAAAATTTTGATGAAATAAATGCATCTTAGGAAAGGCCTGGTTCCCTTATAAGGAAAGTAAATTCTGTATCCCAGGACATTGGATAATTACACACTCAAATGTGTAAATGCTATTACAGTGACCATGAGGGGACCAGACTGTCCCCTTTACTGTGGGATCTACCCACATAGTAGATTTTATCATCGCTATGTGAAGGCTCCTGAACTGTTAGCGTGACCTTGATGTCAGACAGGGCTTCCCGAAACCCCCAAAACCATGGCGTGTGGAAATCCAGAGCATTCTCCCCAAGATTTCTGCAAATCCTTTGTCTCCTAATCCCTCTCTCTATATATGCTCCTCTGACTTTCACAAAGCCGCCTCCCACGTGAAACAGGAAATGTTCTGAAATTCATAGACTTTCTTGGAAATTTTGGAGAGGGAACTGGATAAGGGGCACACAGAACACAAATGACTTCCCCGAGGACAATGAGAGTCACGGTTCTCAGCGTGCCCACCTCTGTGTCCTTCCCTGACCACTCTCAGTCTTCCTGGCCCTTTTCAATCCTGCCACTCTTTTCTTTCCCCTCTGTCTTCTTCTTCCCCCACCTCTTAAGAAGGGAAAAAACCAGACATTCCTCCCCCTTCTCTGTGGCAAAGGAGTTCTCCCCCTTCCACTGATAGCTTGCCACCTATACACAACTGACTTTAGGATCTTACCTACCTTTCAGCTTGGTATTTTCCTACACATACATATTTCCACCCAAGAGGAAACTTTTTCACCTCCTTATGTTAAGTATATTGTTATCTTGTAGACCTTTGCAGGATGACTTCCCTATGAGATCAGACGTGGGGAGTGAGGAAGGAGGAGGAATACTCTGGAATCAGTATCATCACCATCATCATCACTGTCATTCATTGACTCTTGCCATTTTATGCCACACAGTAATATAAGGGCATTATATGCATGATCTCATCTCAGTCCCACAACAAGCCTATGAGGTAGATAGAAACAGTGTCCCATTCCACAGGTGAGGACACTGAAGGGTAAATTGCCATTGAAGGCTCTACAGCTGAGAGCCAACAGGCTAAGGTGGGAAAGGCTCGTGGTTATAATCCCTACCTTGTGAATTGATTGGGAATTTGATTTTCTCTCCCAGATGGAAAACCAGGAACTATCATGGAGAGCTAGCAGGCGGGGGGCTGGACGGCGTGAACCAGGCAAAGATAGGGGATTTTTATGACAGAAGAATCTTTTATATTGTTCTTGGGGAAGGACAAGATACACAATTAGATGTTGTCTTGTGCTGGAAATAGGAAGGCCCGGCCCCATGGAGAGGGGGCTATCTTGACAAGCCACATGGGGCCGGGAAGAGAATATAGTATCTTAACCCAGGGTGTGCAAAGAAACCAGCTCTGTTTGCTTGTTAATCACGTTCGCTATTGCGGGATCGGTGATCTACAGTTTGTAAACCTAACTTTGTATAGTCTCTGAGTTCTTTCTGTGGCTGATTAATTTCAATTTTTCTTTTGCTGTCTTTGTAATGTTCTTTTTGATGATGCCATCCTACTTTATTTGTGATAAGGAAGATATAGAAAGGGGGGATTTTTTTGTATAGTCACTACGACAGAGTTTTAAATGGGAACTCTGTATAACTGATGTCCCCATAAGGTAATGGCAAAGGGAATCCCAAGAGAATTTCCAAAGGAAAAGTGAAGTTCAGAGGGGAGGGGTCTGGGACACTGACACAGCCACGCTGCTTAACCCTCTGCCCTGAGTTCTCCACTCAAAACTTTGAGGTCAAACAACCAAATACAATGAGTGGAACTTATAAGGTCATTGATTTAAATAAATTAACTATACAAGGGGAAATCTGAATATGGACTTAGATGACACTAAGGAATTCTTGTTAATTTTATTAGGTGTGATAGTGGCATTATAACTTTCCAATAAGAAATTTTTGAGGTGCTTATGAAGAATTTAAGTGTTAAACATCATGATGCCTCAAATTTACTATAAAATATCCAGGAAAAAAAGAGTGGGGGATGGGTACATGGGACTGTCATAGTCCACATTGTTATGCTGTATTCCCTATTGTTATGCATGTTTGGAAAGTTTCAAGGAAAAAATGTGGAGAGGCTAGCATAAAGAGAGTTTGTGACTGTGGCTTCTAGTGCAGTGTGATGGGGAAAATAGACACACTTTTCCAGAAGGTTAAAACCACCTACCTCAACTCTCTGAGCCATCTCAGGAACAAGTGAGATTTGCCCTAGTAATAGACGTAGATTTCCCCCAATTTGGCATAGTCTCCAGCACACAGGAAATCCAAAGAGGTAAGATCTCAGAGAAGGGGGCTGTGCCCCTACATTTTACCGCAGAAGGGCCACAGGCCGTGGAGGCCAAGCCAGCCTCTAGAGACCCAGGGAATGACCTCTCACTCTACTTGGAGTTTCTAAATCACAAAATCAAATGATGACGCAAAGTCATGTTACTTTCTCTTAGTGTCCTCTTAGTGTCTCAGTTTCCACATCTGGAAAAAAAATGTGAAAGAACCATTAAGATGGGGACAACCAAGTTTGCCCTCTTCAAAGGACAGCTGTGAGGCTCTCAGAGAGAACCGTGGTTATGAAGCAGCAAACTGGACAGTAATGACAAGCCACACAGCTCCCTAGGTGCCTTCTCCTGGCCCTTGGCACCAAAGTCTCACTGCCAGTGTCCAGTGGAGGGTCAGAAACCCCTGAAGCCACCCGGCAGAAAACCCAGGTGATTCACCTAAACTGGGCCTGCGCCCTGGATCGCGGATAAGCAGCTCCGTCCAGTCGCGGCTCCGTTCCAGTCGCGGCTCCGTTCCAATCACAGCTTCGTTGGAGGAGAGTTGGCCAAGGGCTGCATTTGTTTTGGCAACGGTTTTAAGGAGACCCAAAACATTTGTTTCAGTCAACAAATTCCCTATTTAACACTTGATAGCCAACACAGCCTCAAAAGAAAACATTTGGGTGGGTTGTTAATGTTATTTCTGAAAAGAAGCAGACATTAGAATGGTTTAGATAATGGCCACTAAAATGTTAGGGCCAGATATATTTTCAAGGCTTTCCCGCCTGTGGAGGTGTGGAGAATTGATGGGATTTTGGAAGAGGTTGTCTCGTTATTGTTACCAAACCAAAGTGGGGTCCCCCCGGCGAGTTAAAATCAGGTTCTCCACCACAAGTAGTTGTCACACAATGTCCAGCTTATTCGCAGCAAACAGGAGCCCAGGTGGAGTGATTTCCAAAGTTGTGGCTGTCCCAGCACATGGGGAAGTAGGGTCCTTTGACTTCAGGTGGGGAACGAACATTCAAAGGGCGAGGTGGGTGTTGGCTTGCGCTGCTCACTTGGCCTCTCTCAGCTCATCTGTGTGGGTGCTGCTCTTGTTCTGGGGCTCCGGTCTGGTTAAAGACGGCTGGTGATTGCATCTCTTAAGATAACCAAAAGAACAATTTGGAGAAACAGTTACATGCTTCTGAAACCCCCCTCAAGTTCCTCCGCGTCATCAGTTGGTGACATTATGACTTCCTATGCACGTGGGAGCCATGTTCTCCCAGCTTGTGGGTAGCAGCTCAGCACGTTGATCTTTTGCCTACGTGGCTCTTTCAAACCAGACAGCACACCCAGGGGAAGGTCCAGGCAGACGGAACTGGGTGCTTGCCCACCCACTCTCCCTTGGCTAAGAATTGCCCCAGCCCCCAGCCCTCATATTAAATGACCTTGCTCTTCCCAGGGCACAGAGGCTAGAACCCAAACTGCGTCAGAGGAATTTTCTCTCCCGGGAACTGGAATTGGGACAGAGGTTCTGGTTAGGTATGTGTGGGTGCGGGACCTGGACAGTCATGCCGGTTCAGGGGTGAGGGCACCTTCATACCCAAGCTTTACATGTATATAAACGTGCAGGCAGCTATCTCTTCAATGGACTACTTAAAACCCTTTCAAGCAAGAAATATTCATTTTGTTGGATAGGACAGACTAAGATTTTTCAACAGACGTGAAGCAATTTCTCAAGGTCATACAATAACTCGCTAGAAAATCAAAGTGGAATTTGGATTTCTCGAATCCAAAGTCAGCTTGTGCTCTGTGAAGGAGAACTGCTACCTCCCTTGGAATGTCACATATATGTAGCTCTCATCACCCAGATAATGAGAATTAAAATGTGGAACAGTGCTAAACACCAGGCAGCATTGTAACCTGAAAAACTGAGGGGGATCATCAAAACAGCTAGCATTCAGCAGGAAGTTGCCAGCCCCTAAAATCACTGCACCTAGCAGAACTTCCAAATTATGTATATTGGAGGAGATGAATGTTATCTTCAGCTCTATTTTTAGCTCTGCAATCCTACAAGATTTGTAGAACAGAGAAGATCTCTGTGACAGAATCTATTAAGTGTGAACTGCTTACCTGGTATCTCTGAGGCAGAAACACTACAATTTCGCAGGTTGCACTGTTTTATTTTTGGAAGGTAATACAAATAGATTTTTAAATTTTCACTTCATGGTAGAATACTTAACACTTTGTAATGGGAACATTCCTCAGGATCTCTAAATGAAATCATTAACACGTACTCTTCTTCAGGTATGAAGTTGTTGAGAAGTCTGCAAAAATAGGATTTCGTTTTCCTTGACATCCAGATTTAAAAACTGCAGCCAGAACGATGTTCACAACGAAGTATCGGGTTGGTAGCTTAGATTTCTACGACGAATGCACTGTGTTCACATCTCCGTGCAGCGTGCCAGGACCCGTCTCCTGGTGGATGGATCATCGGGGAGCCTCCTTAAACTCAACGTGACCCGGGCTGAATTCACTGTCTTCCACTTCAGCAACATCAACACAGAATTGATGGAGATAATCCATGTACAGAATCTAATCATTTAGGAATCAAGATTCAGGGAATGAAAACTGCAGTTAGGAGGTGAACTGAGGAGCAAAAGGAAGTGGGGCGTCATACGGGATATTCGCCACAGCGTGGGCTCTCATACTGAGGATTTACTCCCCCAGAGGTTATGAAGAGAGCCATGCCCGGGAACACAGGGGAGAACACCCCGTGAATTTTTCCACAACACCAGATGGCGATTGTCACCATCATTTCTAACCCCTGGGCCACTCTCATGGTTCTGATTAGGGAAGCCAGGGCCCTGATGAGGCCAGAAACCAGAAACCACACCCATCCCCAGTCACTGGTCACAAGGGACATCAGAGAAAGTGGTCCCCAGCTGTGGTTCAGAGGGGCCGTCCCCGCACCATGCACAGCACAAGCCCCCAGACCACACTGCAGGCTGTCGGGAGCCAAGGGTTCGCTGTCAAGGCCTGGCTCTGCCACGGGCCGGGCAGACTTCCTTGCTTCTCTGAGCCTCAGTTTCTTCATGTATAAGATGGGGAATATTTTAATATCATCCTCAAAAGTGTGAGAATTAAATGTGAAGTAAGACAGTACTTTGTTAAGAGCAATAAAATGTGAGATATCATTATGGTTGCACGAGGAAACTGAGGTTCCTTGTAATATAATAGCATCCAGCACGTGGTCCTTTATGCAGGAAGTACTTAATAAATATTTGAGGTCAAGGAGGATTATTATGATTATTTCAAAGTCTGTTGGTCCCCTACCCGCTCCTGCAGCAGACCATGAAGTGAACGGGATGCAAGTCATGAGTGCAGAGGAGGGCAGAGTGCCCTCTGATCTCTGGTAGGGGCTGGACATCCTCGGGGGTGGTCTTTGAGATATGTGGGAGCGAGGAAGCTTCCGTAGGCGCCTTCCATAGGCATCTGAAGCTTTCTTTCCTTAAAAACAAGGTAACAATCTAACGGGGCTTGTTTCCAGGCAACCACGTTCTGTTGAGTCCCCGGTTTTGGCAGCTCGTTGATGGGTGAGTCATACTTACGGTGACTGCAGTGAGTCCAGAAGAGGAATACAGCTTAGACCCCGACTGATGAGAACGTGGCCGACTTTCTTAACCTTTCCTTGTGCCATGGAACTGTTTGGCAGTCCAGTGAAGGTTATGGACCTCTTATAAGAATAATGTTTCCATATGCATTAAAAGTAAAATATATAGGATTATAAAAGAAAAAAATTAAATCAAATATTTTTAAAATAAAGAATCTATTTACCTCATTATTAACACATTTAACAGCAAGATCGAACAGCAGGTCTAATATAACTATCAAAGTTGTGCAAGTGATATTTCATGAGCTCCAGAACAGCTGTAACATGATATAAAAATGTCTGTGAGTTCCATGGGTGACGACGTCACAGGACTACTAATGCTGCTGTGGTTTGTGGCCTGCATTTAAATGGGAGGAAGTGCTGGGTTTCAGTGGGAGGTGAGTAAACTTCAAGTTCGTGGACCTCCTGGAATCTACCCATCGCCCCAGGTTGACCTCTTCCTGACAGCAAACAGTTGGAGGTTCTCAGTAACTTCGGAGGATCTCCCTCCCAGCAGGACACAGGATCGACTCATTTATTATTTATTTGCTGGTCATTAAGAGCCCTGTCTAAGCAGAGCCTCAGGAAGACATACTGGTGGTGGAGTGTAGAGGTGTCACGGCAAAAATGAGCACGGAAGATGAAAGAATGATAACGGGAGAGGAGGGGAGGGCTGCGGAGGGAAAGACAGACGTCTGGACGCAAAAGCACCCCCCTCTCGCAGCCAGGGCTGCCTCTCTCTGATTCTCAGCAGGGCACTCAGAGAGGGCTGCCACCCTCAGGTCAGGCCCCTTTCCTTTACTCCTACAGCCAGGAGCAATGCTTCCTATATGCTCAGATTGCCTTTTCATCTCCCTTCCCCTCACCCCTCCCTTCCCCTCACCCCTCCCAATCCAAACATTTAACTCGGCCTGAGTGACAGCCCATCTCCCACCCAGCATAGCCTGTTCACTGCTGTCAGCCTAGGCTTGCTTCTTCATGTGGTTTACCCATGGATCCCTTTCTGTCCAGAGGAATCTGCTGGGCCTCTCCAGTATCGCTAGTCCCAAGGTGCACATCTCTTTCTGGCTTTTGGGGCCCATCATAATTTCACTCCATCCTGTCAGCCAAGTTTATTTCTCATCTGTTCTCAGCAAGTGCCCAGGTCCTCCCGGTACGCACACACACACACAAACACACACACACTCCTTCTTGCCATACTCATTACTTTGTTGATGCTATGTCCATACTCTGAACAGCTCTCCTTCCTACACTCAGCCAAACCGAATCCTGCCCATCCTACAAGACTCCCTTGGCCTCCTTTTCCCTGGCTGAGTCACACTGACCTAGCCCCGCTCTCAACCCTGACTGCGTGGACATTACCACACAGTTTGGTCCTGAAGTGTTTCCCCGCTATTTCCTGTACGTTCTCTCTCCTACTGACTCTAATGCATTGCGGACAGGGAATCATATCTTACGTCCCCCTATATTTCTCCCTGTGCCTAGACTAATGCTGAGATATGGAAAATTCACGTCATTGGTCAAGTTATAATGAGATGGGGAAACTTTTATTTCATTAGATCTCTTTGGGGAAGCACTGTACGTGCTTGGAAGAAGTACTCTGACCAGCCTCTTGAGGATCAGAGCAAGGCCTCCCAGGGCTTTCTCAGGCAACAGATGTTCGCTAAATTACTATCCATAATTTATGGAGCTCCTGAGAAGGAGGAAAAGCAAAAAGGGATGGGGACTGAGACAGGGCCACTGCACACTGTGTCACAATCAGCCACCCGTCCTCCAAAACCTTCAGTAAAATTATACTAAAATTCACAAAATAGTGGGTACAGATGGATTTCTGATGGAAACCAAGGAAGGGGCCAAGTTTTTTAGCCAGGGTAATGTGAGGTTTCGAGACATTCTATAGATGCAGGAGCCAGCTGGACACGGAGGCCTCGGCTGGCATGTCGATCAGATTCCAACGAATGATGGACTGACTGACCAGTGTGGACATTTTTCATGGAAACGCTTGTGGTGGCACACGGGCCCCAAATGTATCTTCCTGCCTCCTCCACCCCACTACTGTCCATTTGAGGAAGTATTAAAGCGAAGGCCAGGTGGGCCTCTGTCTGTAGCGTGACAGTCACAAGTCTTTATTAAGAAAACTCACTTGGAATTTGCTTCTGTGCGTTGGATCTGCTTCTTAGTTCACCTCAAGGCTGGGCAAACCATTCAGGGAGCTCACCGCTGACTGTTAGCTCGGATCGCGGGGGGCCGCGCCAGGTACAGCCCTGTGTATTCAGGGTGTAGGTGGAATTTTGCACTTACTCATTCCATCGTTTGTAACTGTCCTCATTTGGGGAGATGTGAATTCTGCCATCTCAGCTACATTGAAAACAGGATACGCAGTCCTCCGGAGGCTTCCATTTCATCAATATTATAATTCAAGAAGAAATACAATAGGAAAAATAAACATTTCATTTATAAGACATGACAGATGCCAGATAAAGACTCCACATACTCAATTCAAGTTTGTTAATTAACACAGACTTTGTTCATTACATTAAGCAAATATATTGCAAAAGCAAGTAGGGTATGTATTAGTCAGTGACTAATAATTAGTCAGTGACATGACACACAAAGACATTTTGGTCATGACAGACCACATGTACGATGGTGGTCCCATAAGATTAGTACCATACAGCCTAGGTGTGTAGTAGGCTAGGCCATCCAGCCTTGTGTAAGTGCACCCTATGATGTTTGCACAATGATGAAATCACCCAATGATGCATTTCCCAGAACGTGTCCCCGTCATTGAGTGACGTGTGACTCTGTGCGAATGTCTATGTATATATATACATGAATGATGTCTCTCATTAGCCAAGTTATCGCTGCTTCCTTCCTTTGACATTTGCTGCGGGGGGTTGTTCCTGCCAGCCACAGGAAAAGACCAGAAGCTCACAGAGCAGTTGACCCAGTGCCCTGGATGGAGCAGCTCTGGAACACCTGCATCCAGACGTCTCACTATGTGTGATAACTAAATGCCTGTTATTTCAATAAATTCAATTCAACAATGTTTTTTTAAAAATGCCTTAAAATATATAATATGCTTATATATTATATGTATATATGGAATTGGCTCATGTGATCATGGAGGCTGACAAGTTCCAAGATCTGCAGTCAGCAAGCTGGAGCCCAGGAGAGCTGATGTTTCAGTTCAAGTCCAAAAGCAGGAAAAACTTTGAGTCCTGGCTCAAAGGCAGTCAGGCAGAAGGAGTTCCCTCTTCCTCAGCCCTTTTGTCCCATTCAGGCCTTCACTGGATTGGGTGAGGCCCACTCACGCTGAGGAGAGCAATCTGCTTTCCTCAGTCGACTGATGCAAACGTTAATCTCATCCGGAAGCACCCTCACAGATGCATCCGGAATAACGTTAGACCCAGTGTCTGGTCACCCCACAGCCCAGTCGTGTTGACATATAAAATTAACCATCACAGGGCACAACAATTTATGCTAATTATATAAAGTACAAAAACAGGCAGAACGAGTCTATTCTGTAACAATTAAAGTCAGGAGAGTGGTTGTCCTGGAGGGCCTTCTGTTAGTGGTCAGTCTTATTTCCTGATTTGGTCCTGTTACACCAGTGGCTCACATTGTGAAAATTTATTGAGCTGTATACTTGGGATTTATACCCTTTCTGAATGTATGCTGTGCTTTGATTCAATGTGTTTTGTTTTGTTTTCTTTTTTTTAAATTGAGATAATATCTGTTGCCAATCTTTTTTTTTTCTTCTTCCCAAAGTCCCCCAGTACATGGTTGTATATTCTAGCTGTAGGTACTTCTAGTTCTGCATGTGGGCCGCCGCCTCAGCATGGCTTCATGAGTGGTGCCATGTCAGCACCGAGGATCCAAACCAGCGAAACCCTATGCTGCTGAGGTGGAGCGCGTGAACTTAACCACTCGGCACAGGGCAGCCCCCAACATGTTTGCAAGAGGAGGGTGGGAGTGGGTACTTGGTCTATTGGAAACATCTGTTGAAGTGTCCTAAAACATAAATTTTATATATCCCTTACAAGAAACTTACGTTTTCTTGGATAGTATCTTTCAGCCTCTCATAATTCCTGGCCTGGGAACAGAATCTTAAGCCTCTTGTTTTGATTCCCTTCAATGAAAGCCCAGCTGGGTTGAGAGGCGTCTCTTTTGCCTTACATGGAGTCCCTGCCTGGAAGGACAACGTCAGGCTCTGGCCACAGGACACTCACATGACTGCCAGAAGCACAGGACCCCAGTCCAATCACAGTGGGGGCCACAGCTGGGAAATCTGGGCGAAGCTGACAAACTTGGTGACATCACTTGAGAACCTTGCTGGCGAGGTTTCTTCCATTTTTGTTGCTGTCCTAGTGCCCGGGAGTCTCCTTCTGAACATTGCTGCCTTGAGACTTCTGGGCAGAAAGAAATTAATTTAAGTCCTGATTCATAGCTGGCTCCAGGGGAGAGCCACAGCACCAAGTGAGCCTTGGATAATTTCTTGAAGACAGATGCCTCAAACTTTTTTCCTCTTAACTCTTCCAAGTGCATATTCTTTGAGACTCAAATCCACAGGCACTCAGTGAAACAGAAATTGACTGGTTAGGTTAACCAACGCAGAGTACCAATCTAAATGACTTGGCCTCCAAATTATAATTTTGGCCTGAATCAAGTGCCTTGTTAAAATTCTTCAAATTAAGTTTATCCTTTCATTTGGCAGAATATTTATCTAGGCATCATGTCAATGCTGGAAAGGGGTTGACCTGGTTTGGGACTCCAGCTCATCAACCCTAGCAGAGTGACCTTTGGCACATTATTTCGCCTCTTTAGGGCTGTTTCCTCAAACTTGCAGTGTTGTGGGATGGATTAAAATGCAGATATGCAAAGTGCCTAAGCACTGTCATTACTCAGATCAATAATATATGTTCATCATCATCTTCATCATCATTTCAATATCCTGCAAAGTCAGGGTAGGCCTGGCCTAATGGCATCAAGGTAGTTGAACTAAAATAGTGCATGAACTCCTTTATTCTTCAGGAATACACTCAACAGGACACATTTAAAAAGAATCTAGACAAAGTTGAAACTGTCTTCCAAGTTCAGTAGGTCTTGAATGGACCCAGATTAGAGTATTTGTGATTAGGTATGCTTAGTCTTCAATAAAATGGAATAAATGATATTT